GTAGTCATAAACTACTTACATGTGTAGGACTAGGTTATTTTATACAATTTAAAACCCATTTACTATGTACAATTTTGAAGTGATGTTATTACATTATTGGTGGGGATAATTAGATACATTTTGGTTAGCGTTTTACCATCTACATATTCCTAATATAAATACAAAATTTGACAACAATCGGCCCAGTACTTTCGGAAATTATCTGTCTAATAAACATCCGGGACGGCAGACAGACGGAAACGGGAAACCTATTTCTTAGTCCTCTAGGGGTCATGAAAGGTCGAGAAAATGTAAAAGTAGAGAGTCGACCGACGGACTCGATTACAATACTTCTTTTGCCTACGCTCGGGTAATAAAAATTGGCCCAAGGTTACTTCGAGAGAACGTCCGTCGCCCTTGAAGTACAGTCCAACAAATTCCGCTTTTTTGGAAATTAAAAAAAAATGTTTTCTGATAACCTTTGTACAGGGTGATTTTTTTAACCTGAAACTTTCAAATATCTCGAAAAATGGGCACTCTACAAAAAGATGTCAAAATTTAATCCTTCCATGGGGGAAATGCTTTGGTGCAAAAACTATGTAGTCCCCCTCCGCCCTCCTTGTAGGTGGTGCGGGGAGTAACTTTGAAATATTAAATAGGAACCCCGCATTTTTATTACAGATTCGGATGCTACGGCTAAAAGTACGTAGGATTTTTTTTCGATTTCTCCCAACAAGAGCCTATGCATACAAGATTGCAATACGTTTGCAGTAAAAAATACCACGTTTTCATTGTAAATAAGCAAAAATGAGTCGCAGTGGCGGCTCTTCAGAGGAGGCAAGGGAGGCTGACCCTCCTCTGTTTTTTGGGGCTGAGCTTCCTCTAATTTTTTCGATGAAAGAATTTGTATTTTTGTAGACATTTGTTACTTTTCAGAATATTTTGTTTGATTTCATTTACTTTCATCAGATATCAGGTTAAAATGTCGAAAAAAATTATATTTGCGCCCTTACAATCATAATTCACACCACTCCTCGTTTGGCTTCAGCAATAAAGGCTAGCCTCCGCCGAGAATGCATCTTACTATTGAGACCGCAACCTTGACGCATCGTCATTCGGTACTGCATTGGCTAAAACGTTAATCAGGGTGCCGCTTCAGGCCGCTAGCCTCCGGCTAGTTCATCTCTTTTCAGATCAAGTCGCACGGATAATTTTATCTCTTTCTTATTAATTGGAGCGATCCGGTGTAAATTGGAAAAACATTGAGGTGGTTTCGCGTGCTCCCTATTCAGTGGTGAGTGGTGTTTAGGCTTTAGTACCTAGGTAAAGCCTAATGTGTTTTTTGTATCATTTATTTGCGTTTTATTTCTGATAGTTAAAAACAGCTGGTATTATCGGCATATTAATATTACTTATACTTAACGATAATGAGCAACGAAAATAATTCAGTCTCATGTGCAGATACGTAAATTATCTATTAAAAAATGAATTTAGTAGCTTTGATTGTGATAAAAAGATCGCTATAAAACAAAAGGGGAGACCAACACCACCACTCCCATTAATGGTAATGACAGGTAAAAAGCAAAACAGAGCATTTCATGAAAATAAATGTAATAAAACTAAATGGTTAACGGCTTCGGTTTTTTAAGAAACAAATTATACTGTTGGAATTGTGTATTATTCACAAGTGATAAATTTTCCGTTTGGGATAAAACAGGCTATAATAATTTACAAAATTTGTCATGAGCAATAGAAAGACATGAAAAATCACAGGAACACATATTTTCTTCTACTACTTTAGATTCCGCTCATAAGAGGGATATTGAGAACTATAACGAGAAAGTTGGTAAAAATAGGGCAATTTTGAAAAGACTAATCGATGCAATAGTTTATCTATCAACGCAGGAGTGTTCTTTTCGTGGACATGACAAAAAAAAATATTCAGATAATGAAAGATATAAAAAGTAGTGCTTTTCAAATTTGAGCCTCCTTTGAAGAAAACTTCACAAGCCGTCACTGGTCGCCACATCATTGAAGGCAACTTGAAATGTACCGAGACATTTTGGAAAACGAACTGCCAAATTACTTGAAAACTTGAGCTTAGAAGTGCGACAGAACATGTGATTTCAATATGATGGTTGTCCAGCACACTATTCGATGGTTGCACGTGAAGTACGTGCTCATGATTTCAATGATCACTGTATTGGTAAAGTCGGTCCGGTAAGTTGGCCTGCCAGATTACCAGATCTTAGTTCGCCAGATTTCTTATTGTGGGCTATCTCAAAGACAAAGTTTACAAACAAAAACCAACAACACGTGAGAATATGAGTGAGCGAACCAGAAATCCTTGTGCCAAAATTCAACGGACCAGCAGACACATGTCTCAGTGTACATTCAATCAGGGGCGGTTGGTGCCGGGGGGCACAAGGGCACGTGCCCCCCCAAAATTACAACGTCGACAAACACACTGGACATAGTAAAATAGTAATTTTCAGTATTTAAAAAATCATCCGGAAATTTGTGTCATAATTATCAAAACTATTTTTTTATCTCTCTCCACTTGTATAAAATGTATCAAAACTTACATCCACATAGATCTAAAGACGTGTCTTGGATATATGATGTTATTTTTGATGAAATGCTGATAAAAGCCGGGCACAGAGACCGAAAATCGTGGCTGATTTAGATGTTTTGTCCTCACCACTGGACTGCGCACCCATTCCCACCGTGCTCTGCAGGATTGAGTTACTATCGCGAGTTTTAATTTTCATTCTGCGCGAACACGTATTATAAATATTCTTGGATAATCTTCTCGGTAATACAGATATTCAGAAACAACTACACAGCGCCTATATTAATAATATTTGGGCACATAACGCAAGGGTCGACAAAAATCGCCATATATTACGCCGATTGATAATGTGGATACAATTTTATGGAGTGTTCGAACTTGCTTTACCTGGACATGACGAAAGTAGGGAATCGCAAAATCCGGGTATATTTCGAGGTCTGATTGATTTTACGGCTGAATTGGACTCTGCTTTATCAAAACATTTGAAAGAAGCAACTTTTTTTAAAGAAACGCCTAAAACTGTTCAAAATGAACTTTTAGATGCTATGAACTATAAAATTTTATTCGAAGACAAAAAGGTATGTGGAGAAATCCTTTTTTACTTTTATTGAATGTATTTTTGTATTTATTTCCGTCACACAATTTCGTCTATTAATTGGTAATTACAACCTGTTTTATATCTTCATATTTAACTCATCAATCAAATTGTGTCCCCCCATTGCAAAAAAAAGACCACTGCATTCAGTATGCATTGAAATCGAAGGCCATCATCATTTTGAGCACTTACTTTAAATGAAAGATGATGAGGCGAGGGGACTGATGTAAATTAAGCACTCTAATAAGTGATAGGCGAAAAGACTCACATAAATGAAACAGCCTGATAGAGAGAAGAGGCGGGGAACTTGGGGAACTCACCTAAATCAATCACCCTGATATGTGACAGGCAAGGAGACTCACGTTAATCAAGCACTCCAAAGGGAACAGAAAACTATTTCGCCCATATCGTTCCTTGGTTACGCTAAAAGTAGTTTATTCGTCACCCATTTACATTTCTACAGGTAACAATTTCCAAGTTATTTGAAATTTGCAGCATGAATACTTTTTTGACGACGCATTTTGAGTATTTACATAAATGCGTGGTATTTTTCATTGCCAACGTAGGCATAGGATCTCACTAGGAGAAATCCGAAAAATTTGAATTTCGTCAATTCAGCGCCATCTATAACGAATCGGAAAAAAATGTTTCAGACAAATCATACTTACTTTTAGCCGTAAACTCCAAATCTGCAATAAAAAATAGCAGTTCCCATTTAAAGTTTCGAAGTTAATCCTTGCCCCACATAAAAGGTGATGAGGGCGACTAATTTTAGCACTAATGTATGTACTTCTTCCGCGGCATGATTAAATTTTGATTCTGGACAATTTTTCGCAGACTGCTTATTTTTCGACATTTTTGAAAGGTTCAGATTAAAAAAATCACCGTATATATTAAAAACCAGTGGTGTAAATGACACCTCGAAGCACCTGCGCGCCGTGGACAAACATACTTCCAAGGAAGTGCCGTCGAGAGACCTACAGACAATATAAAATATGTTCAAAGGCAAATAACCAACGGAAAATAGTGTATTATTATCAACGGGCGAATTGTGTTTCATACGCTAGATCCAGTGCTGTCGCGGCGATAGTTTGATTACAAATACATTTTTCTTTTGGACTATATCAACACAATATAACATTTCAAGATCACAAATCCGTGGTCCTGTGTTTCAAAAATTAAAAAGGGCATCGAGTATTATTATTTGAAGTAATATAGTAATATAGAAGTAGTTTTTTAACAAGCTGTAAACACTCCTAGCGACGCACTGGCTACGACCTTGTGGACCAGATCAAAGCGTCCCCGCTACTCGCCGTAAAACACACCTTGCTTCAACTGGGGAACTGCATTCGTAAGATAAATTTCCGCCTAGTGATTATTATCGATGTACATGCTTAACTTCGATTGTTTATGTTTACACATCGAAAGAATGTCACGTAGAAATTTGTTTAATTTGAATGAGTTGTCTCCTCATAACAGATGACTAAAATTATTATTAATTAAGCCACAATGGAACAAAATGTTTTGAGTATCATTATTATTATTCTTATTTGATCATAATTAAATAAAGACATGGGTATTCTCACATTTTATGGAATTTTAATTGTTATTTGCCACCCACCCTTTCTTCATTTGTAGCTGCTGTCCAACCGATGAACCTGGTGCACCGGCCACCTTGACTACCGAACACCATAACAACAAAAAAACATATGTCCCAATCAAATTCGCAACTACAGCAGAAGACATTTATGGTTATTAAACCAAAGACCTAAAACACAGTTTTAGGAAATTTCGATACAGTCTTCGCATACCTCTAGAACAGTTTTTTTTTTTCTTAACGAACAGTTTAACACAAACGGTAAATATTTTGTTTTTATTATATTTGGAAACATGTTAAAAATAGTCTAAAAACACCAAAGAGAAATTGCATTTCTTTTGTGTAGAACCTACAGCTTTGCCTGTAACGATGATCGTATATTTTCCTTCCATGGCAGGCCAATACCGTCAAGAAATTTATTTAGCTCTTCTATATATTCATCTGGGTAGCGATGAAAATGTCCTACATGTGGTGATGTGTCCCAGCATTTCCACTGTACCTATTAAAAACATTTCACTCTGATAAAAATGAACATCTGAATGTTCTTACCGAAATTCCCGATTTTATCCAATTTTCCATCACCCTTAAATTAGATTTTTCAGATCCAACGGGATCTGATTTACTTACAAACATTAAGGCTGGTGCTTTAATTATGTTTGTGTGAAACATCTGACTAGCTCGAATGTAATGACAGGTTGCCACCTTATCAAATGTTTTCAAATGATATCTGCAAAAATATGAATTTCAAATATTTATACCACGTTCTATGAATAAAATAAAATAAAAAAAAAAGCAAACCATGTGACAATTCATAACTATACTAGATGTTTCTTTTATTTGATACAACTCCCGCAACTTTTTTATTCTTAAACATAAACCTGAACCGGAAATGAAGTCAACTTTTTTTTATGGTACACCGGGTATATTTTTTCATAAATAGAAAATTGACTTTTTGTATAAATCAAAAGCAACCAATATTCTAAAATCTATACAATATAGTAACTTGAAAAATTGACAATTGAATTAACTTAGTTGTTTCTGCTAAGATGTGTTTTTCTTTTTTTTTCTCTTTTTTTATTTTTATAATATCTAGGTCTGTAATTTCTTTCATTTCTTTTTATTTGATTCCAGTGTCAAAGTTAAGCAAAATATCTGATCGATAACGTCTAATCTGAGTACTTTAAAGTCTGCGTATTTACTTGTTATACTTTCCCTATTAAAGGATTACCTGTTAGGAAATTATCTTTAATAATAATAATAATAACATTTCATTTTAGCGCCTAGAATTTAGAGCCGGCAAAACAGGCACCACCTATTGCATTAAAGTATAACTGCTTAACAAGCTCCATTTCATAAGTATCAAGAGGATAAGTTAGCTATGCACAGCGTTCAGAAACACTCTCCTCATTTGTGAGGATCTCGATACTTATTTTATTAATTTACTCTTAAATCATAAGCATATATAATAATAATTGCTTGGTCTTAGTAAACGTAATGAGAGAAGTCTTGTTTGAATACCGGTCATTTTCGGGTCAAATCTAAATTATAATAATAATGTGCTGTTGGCGTATTTTGTACGCATTAAGAAAAATATGCATGTTCTTCGATGTGGACAAAATATTCTATGTTAAAGTTCGCACTGAAAGGATATAGAAACATAGTGGAAAATATGGTAAACTGGTTGCTCATTTAAAAAGTGAATCCAGAGTGTATAATAAACCAAAAAAGTTAGTTCTAATTGTTTTCTCGTGCGTCTCATAAATTGTAAGACACTCGTGTCTTATGAATTATAAAACACTAATGTTTTATGACCTTCATAAGACGTTTTATGTCAGCAGTATTATGGCTAATAATTTTTATATAACTTACATTATATATTGCCTCAACGTTGATTGTAACATTTTATTACGAGGAAAAATTGCAAATGGAAAGCCCTCTGGAATCTCAGTAATATCAGCCAAGCTATCCCAAACTTGCCCCACAATTCGGTCCATGATATCACTGTAACGATGTTCTTCAGCTGCTATTTGCACTAAAGCCTCAGACCAAAGGTAACCACCAATTGAAAAGCCATGGATAACTATTGGTGAATATGATTTATTGCTTTCCAAAAATTTTAAAATATCTGACGCCACCACCTAAAAGTATAAATAAAAATCTAACATATATATTATTTCCGAGCTAACGAATTGTGCCAACACGGTGAGGGGTCGACCCAAGCATTTCGAATTCCGTCAACATTGATTCGGGTGGGATTAAGGGGCAGGTATCAAGAACAGTTAGGGAGGCTAGGATTAAATAAGTAATTACTTAGATAATGAGTCAAACATTTTTATTTTTATTTTACAGATTTTACAATATACCTATAAACTAGAGACTTTACAAATTCAATTCTACTTATTTGTCCTAATCTGTGTCTTGTTATTCTTTCCTCAATATACTCTTCCCAAGCTTTTACATCTTTCCTAAGAACTTTGTTGTGATTTTATGCTGTGGTCATTTTAAGATATGTTATTGTTTCATAATTAAGGAACATTTCCATAAATGTCTTTAAATCAGAATGACTGAAATAACAATTAGTCGAAGGCTATTTCGACAGAACTTCCCTCACCCTTGAAATATAATCCGACAAATCCAGCTGTTTAAAAATATATAAAATTTAATTTTACGATTTTCGTTTTGTGATAACCTGTATCAAGTAAAAACCAGCGGCATAAATAACACCCCGCAGCCTCTGTACCGTATGGACAATGTAAAATATATTTAAAGCACATAACTAAGGGGGTAAAATGTCCTTCAGCACTAGGTAATTGCAAACTGAACCTCAAGTGTTATGTTTATAGGACGCACTCGATCTCCAGGCGAAAACAGAGCAGGTAAAACTGTAACGAGGGTCAGTAATCTCCTCCCGAATTGCGGTCAGAAATTAAAAAGTCAATTTGGGGATGATTATCACTCAGTAACTTCTAATCATCTCTTACCTGACGAGTTATAAGAATTAAGAGTAGGTGATACATATTTAAAAGTGGGAGGTAAGTTTTGATGGACAAGTGGGAGACAAGGCTCAGGTAATATAGCTCTCTACGAACTTATAAATAAACGCTTAAATTGCAACTTTTTATTTTCTTTTAAAAGTTCAAAGCGTTAACTGAAGTTAAAAATGGAGATTTCGAAAATGCTTAGTGAACGGGGTCGACTTTTAATAATTTTATTTTGCACAAATGGAAATCGTACGTATGAACTGGCCTGCACGAAGTCAGGACCTCAATCCCATCGAGCATTTATGGGGCATAGTGGGAAAAAGAATTAAAGCATTACAGCACCCTCCTACCACCCTCCCAGAGCTAACACATAGATTGACGCAAGAGTGGCAAGGAATTGATCAAGGAGAAGTTAGAAATTTGAGTAACAGTATGCGAGCTGTTATCAATAAAAATAAGATGTTATTTTTTGTTTTCTTGCAATTTGGTTCCAAATCATTATTAGTTTGTTGTTTTTGTCGATTTTTGTTCTAGAATTTCTTTGTTTTTGCCACAACAACCTCTAACTAAACCTTATTTTATGCGAACTCTCGGGTTTCACGCAATGAACATTCAAACTTTTCGATCTTTGCATCTCCATCGAAGTTGCTAATTCCAAGCCTTTTATAAAGTTAAATTCGTGATTTCCATCAACCTACCTTATTCTGAATTTTCTTTGAATGCAAGCCAAAAGCTAATTGATTCCTTAAAGCTGTCTTTAGGTAACCGCCAAATTTACATGCTGTAGCTAATTTTTGTAATGCTGTTAAAAATTCTTGAACCGATTCACCGTCTTCTTGCTTCTTCCTTTGTAAAAATTTGAAATTTTCGACAATTTCTAAGGGTTGGGAATTGAAATGGTTCAGCAAAATCTCCACAAGTTCTTCATAATTCTTGTCTTCAGGATTTACAGCCGAAATCTTATTGCATAATATGTCTTGCGCTTCTTCTCCTATATAATGCAGTAAATATGCGGCCTTTTTCGTAACATCAATTTCGAACATTTTAAAAGCGTTTTCCAACCGTAGCCACCATTTCTTGAAGTTCTTTGTAATGTCGAACATTTCAATATTGAATATTGTTTGCACTGTATGTTTTATACTAACGTTTGTAGTCGATGTAGAAAATCCTGCACTTCGTCTTCTACGAGGCATGTTGTAATCTGCCAAGTTGATGAAGTAGTTTTCCTTGTTGTCAATTTTTAGTTAAGGTCCGTTGCAGAAAGTCTTCTTGTCTTCTACTATTTATATCCTCGTCGCCAATTTGTTGAGGTGTTTAAGGTAACTCTTGAATATTATATTCCAATAGAACTTATAATCTTTTATTATCTTTGAAATTACAATCTTGTATGTTGTAATGCCAATTTTTATATTCTTGTTTTCCCCGTTTCCCTAGAAAACACCACCACTGGCTGCTTTTCAAACCTAACACAATGTCATCATTGTGACGTGGTTACGGCGCTGCCAACGTCGTTGTTTATAAATAACTCACAGTTAATCTCTTCAGTTTAAAGGTTTATTCGTTGCAAAAAATATTGTGGACAACACGTTCGTGAAGTCTGCTTCCCGCAAGTGTTCATGCGGGAAGCGGACTATCCCGAACTAGTTGTGTAAATTACTATTTCATATATTAGAATTAATTTTGCAAATAGTGATGCCAGCAGAAAAATACGAAAAGCGGTGACTGAAAAAAAATTATTAACGCAAAGATATAGCAACTTGAAACAGGTAACGTCACTAGGTGTAATTACAGAAAATGTGTAACTTACAAATTAGGTGGTACTGTTTAATAAAAATATAAATTTGTTACTTATTATTTGTGTAATATATATTATGATTGTTTAATAAAACTTTACTTGCAAATGTTTGTTTTTATTATGGCCAGGATTATAAAGGTAATTTAATTCAGTAGATACATTTATTCTACAAATAAATTCATTTGTTTCCTATATAAATCTGTACGAAACAACTGATTTTATTCTGAAAGTTAATTTATCTAGGGAATAAAACGTTTATAATACTGCCCATTTAAGCAGAGATTCTAATCTCTAAGATGCAAAGAAAAAATACAAAGTTTTAATTTGCGACGTTCAAACATGCAGGTGCGCGTTTCTGTAGTTTGTATTTTCAAACAATTTCATAAATCATCCAAAAAAGCAAGTTTTTAACAAATCTGGAACAATTTTCAAGAACAACGTAGTAATGGGTAGTGTGAGTGATACCGACACTGATAATATTCAATGGGATGTGGAAGAAACAGCAAAAAAACGTGGTGCCTTGGTTCTTCCAGACAAATCAATGAGGCGTTACAAGGAAAACTACGCAAAGCTTGAAAAGTGGTGCAAAACTAAAGGAATTAAAAGTATCTAACATAATAGGTTACTACTTGCGTACTTTGAAGACTGTTCAGACTGTCTCCCGGCGAATGACGACTGCTTCCGTTGGTGGTCGGTCTCTTTTATAAGACCGACAGCACAGTGTAGAGATCATTCAGTAGGGACAACTCGCTATTTTTACTGACCCGTTTTCGTGGGTGGTCGTTTGTCTTGTGACCGGATGAGGGCGCGCAACGCGAGGTACTTCTCTTTCTTACACATTCAAACACTGAACTGCGGTATTTTGGTTATCTAGTGTATTTAATGTAAAATATCCGGTGTAATTATTGCAGTTAAGTGTAATTTTCACAGAAACATTTTAAAAAACATTGTTCATGTTTTGATGGGACCATTGTTTGTTTATTTTTTTTTTGTAAAAAATTAAATTTATATTAGCGTTTTTTAATAACGTTGAATTTTACAACCATCAAGACATGGAAAAGAAATTAAGGAAACGTAGAATCGTAATCACAGAAGCGGGGCCAAATCTGAATTTCAAGACTACATCCTCTGTTATAGGGTGCTTAATTCATTATTTATTATAATAACTGTGTGGTTTCTAAGATCAATTAATTACAAAATGTTATTGTTATTACACTATTTTTAATTTTTTCCAAAAATTCATTTGCACAAAGTGTAGTAAATTATGTACACGACTCAATTTTAAAATTTTCAAATGAAGCGTTTGTGATACTTTTTAAATTGAGAGGCGACATCTAGAAATAGTGTAGGCTACGACCACCGATGACGTATTAAAATTCGGGTTAGAAAGATCAAAGGCGCGAGACTAAGGGGCCAATTCCAAGTTGGTGGCGCAAGTCACTGGTGCAGCGCAACTTTATAATGCTAACTTGGGTATCAAATGGTGGTTGCTAGGGGTGACGGAATCAACAAACGCAGTTTTGTCGAACTTTCCATTGAAATTTTGATACCCAAATTAGCATTATAAAGTTGCGCTGCACCACTGATAAGTATTAACAAAACGAGCACGTGTTGATTTGCGTTTATTAAACTGCTTACAAGTTTATGTCTTACCTACTCGACTGTCGGTCTCAAAGAGAACGAGTCCTTCCAAGAAACCTCAGTACCTACGCTATGCGCAGTCGCATTCCATGACATCTTACTATTGACCTATTTCCTACTTAACCTACTGTACACTTAATCTACGCCTTAATTAATACATTACATATCCCCCCATTTAAGATTAGTACATTTAAAAAAAAAAAAAACCCGAATGCGCCTAATATTAATTCCTAATCTTTGTAACGTGCTGGGATGTTACAAGAACGCTTTGGTCTATCGCGTACCGGAATGACTGGAATAGGATTGGGTCGCGGTTCGAGAGATGGTGTTTGTTCTGGTGGTGGCGGTGTGGCTGACGGCATTGTTGGTTCCCCAGGCATCTTCCTTTGTGGTACTTCTTGGTTTGTATTCGCTGGTTGTACTGTCTCTGACTTGCTGTCCTCAGTGCTTGGTGCTTCAATTCTTTTTCTCATTTGGTCAACGTGTCTCCTCCATTTTTGTCCATCTGGTAACTCGCACGTGTAGTTTCGTGGTCCCAGTATGTCGATGACCTTTGCTTCCTGCCAAGTTTTGGTATTAGGCTTCCGATAATCCCGAATCCAAACTATACTTCCCTTCTCAAATGTTGGTGAATCTCGACCTTTATGGTTACATTGCCTTTCCGTGTCTCGGTTTGTGTCAGGTCTCATTAAGTTGAGCGTCGTGTGGAGATGTCTACCCAGCATCAATTTCGCTGGCGTTTCATTCGTTTGACAGTGCGTGGAATTTCTATACCAGAATAAATACCTGCTGACAAGAGTGTCTGTCGAAACGTGTCGGTTTCTTTGGTCTAAAAGCGCTGCCTTGAAGCCTTTCTTAAAACTCTTTACTGCATTTTCTGCTGTTCCATTTGTCTCTGGTTTGTACGGCGGTCCGGTAACGTGCCTTATTCCATTTCTTTTTAAGAAAATTGAAAATTCCTCTGATGTGAGCTGTGTGCCGTTGTCTGACACCAAAGTCTCTGGAATTCCCCATCTTGCACATGTTTCCCTGATTTTGCTAATTGTTGCAGCGGACGTGATTGAGTTCATTTTAAAAATTTCAGGCCATTTACTATAAGCATCCAACATAATGAGGTAGTGGCTGTTATTAATCGGTCCAAGGAAATCGATGTGCACTCTTTGCCACGGACGCGTTGGTCTATTCCACGGAATTGGGATCGCTTTCTGAGGTTCCCTTGCGACTTTATTGCATGGAATGCAGCTACGAGCTATGTTCTCAATGTCCTTGTCAGCCTTGATGGTGGTTTCTCTCGCTAGTGCGATTTCCAAGAGATTTTCTAGTGATTTGCTCGGCTTTTCCTCGCACAGTCGGTCTCGAATTGGGCCCTTTCGCATACCGCACACGAATTTGTCTTTGAGGACGTTCCCCAGGTCCGCACCGAAGTCGCAATTCGTTGAGAGATTGTGTATTCGCACGTGCCAATCGTTCACGGTCTCTTCTTCCAACTGCTTCGCGTCGTAGAATTCTAACCTCTCTCTGAAAACGCACGTGGTCGGAGAAAAATGCTTCTTCAAGTGGTTGCAGAGCTCTTCGTACGTCTTGTCTTTAGGGGCTTTTGGTGTGCACAGGTCTCTGAGTATCTTGTAAGTATCTTGGCCAATTAAACTGATCAACGCCGCTACTCGCTTCTTAGATGCTTCCGTGTCCTTGATGTCGTTTATTTCGAAGTATTGCTCGAGCTGTTCTTGGTATAAAATCCAGCTGTCCACACGTGGATTGAAATTTTGTATCGAACCAATCATCTTCGTTGTTCTTCTTTTTAATCCTCGTCGCCAGTGATAAGTATTAACAAAACGAGCACGTGCTGATTTGCGTTTATTAAACTGCTTACAAGTTTATGTCTCACCTACTCGACTGTCGGTCTCAAAGAGAACGAGTCCTTCCAAGAAACCTCAGTACCTACGCTATGCGCAGTCGCATTCCATGACATCTTACTATTGACCTACTTCCTACTTAACCTACTGTACACTTAATCTACGCCTTAATTAATACCGTCGTCTTCGTTGATTCACTATTAAAGTCTCTCCAATTGGTTACAATCGTCCGACTTGTCAAAAGGGAAAATATCAAAAGATGTCACCCCCTTCGGGAGTTACAGGAACCTGTAATTAATTCGTTTTGTTACGCGCCAAAACAGTTTGTGCTTGAATTGATATTATCAAAATGTCCAAAAAATATTGCTCTGTGCCTGCTTGTGTAGTAATCAAGGATCCTAGAGACCACAAAATAATGCACAGATTCCCTTCAAACACTGTGAACAAAAGGTTGTGGTGCAAAAAGGTTTTTAATGCTACAAGTAGGTACCCCAACATGAATCTTTTACCTAAGGGAATGTATAGCCATTAAAACCATTTCAGGTGATAATATTGCCAATAATTTATACATTTGTGGTAAACACTTTTGTGAGAAGTTGTTATTATTCAAATAAAAGACTTAAACCCGGCTCTGTTCCTACTTTGTTCCTCCATGGATCCAAGTCACCGCTACCTGTTCCTACTTCTTCAAGCTACCAAGCAAACACTAAACGTAATCCAGAATGCAGCTTCATAATTCCTGAGACACATTCCGATAACAATGTAAACACCTCAAAAAAAAATTTTCCTATTGCATATCCCTTTGAAGACCATCCACGCCTATGGCGTTGTGACTTTGGCACCGGTACCGAAATTTTGCCTCTTTTTCAAGTAAAAACCGAAATACATGATGTCAAATTGTGTCAAAAAGTCAGACCATGACAGATATTTAGCCGACATTACAGATTCCTTTCCCTCCCGACGTATACGCCCTCACATGTCACATTTAAGGGATTGGAGAGACTTTAATAGTGAATCAACGAAGACGACGATTAATACATTACAACCACTGACTTGCGCCACCAACTTGGAATTGGCCCCTAAGACAACAACATATTGGCTGTTCTGTGGACAACACACAGTTACACAGCAAACACCAAATGACTAAGACCACGTCGATCAGCTCCGACTTTTACATAAATAAAACCCTGATTATTATTTTAACATTGTTCAATTAATTCAGTGCTCTACGCAACACAAATAAGGACCTTCGAACCAACAGGAACAACTAGCAACAATACGTTGTTTTTACAAACCGAAACAAAGACCTTTCCGAAACACCGGAAACTTTTCTCGTTGTGGGTATATTATTCAATACTCCTTTCTCGTACATGATGTTAAGGACACGGCGAGAATTTTTTTTGTTACGAGTGGTGATATTGAAATCATTTGTGAGAATTCTACGGCCGAAAAATTCAAAACACACGCTTTTTTCTGGGGTTCAGAAATGAAAAATGTATAAACCAGACCGTCGGTATTAATACTTTTAGAAAAATGCCCAGTATAACTGTTTCTTTTATGGCTCTGCCCAATTTTCGGGACACACAACACGTTACTTTCGGCGATCATCAGCTTCACTGCTCGCAAACTCCGGAGCTGATTTGCAAACTGTAAAAAGGCATGGTGGCTGAAGGATACATAGAGATTTATTAAGACCCACCACTGACCCGGAAATGACCGGCATTCAGGCAAGACTTCTATCATTACGGGTACTAAGACCAAGTAATGATATGCATTGATTAGATTAACAAAACAACTTTCGAGATTCTAGAATTACAGCATACGAAGTAGTCTGCTATTATTCTCTAATCTCACCCCATCCCCAAAAGTCTAGCGTAACTACCGACCATTTATCCGCGCATCACTTGGAAAATGACCTACACTACTCTGACCTACTGGTGCTAATCAAATCTGACTAACATGATCAGACTGTTCAAGAAACTTACGAACAATATGACATGTTCCTAACAAAACAGCTTTTTGAATTTTGACAATTATTGAATCATTCAAATGTAAAGTCTTTAAATTCTCAACTAAGCTATTTGGAACTACACCTACATTAGAGATAACTAAGGGTAGAATTGAAATTTGTTTAAGATTCAACATGGATTTCATTTCTATCGATAATTGTAGATATTTTGAAATCTTGGTGTGGTATATTTGAATAATGTTGTTTGTGTTAGGAATAGCAATGTCAACGAGAATGGCTTCGTTCGTGTGTTTTTTGATAAGTATTAATATTAATGATATTATTATTATTAGTTAAATCTTTCCCAACGGGGTAATCCCAATTATAGGGAAAGAGAGACAAAAAAAAAACAAGACGATTAGAGAAGAAATGAGCAAATAATTATATAATAAAAATAATGTAATTTTAGATGGAAGAATATATCAGAGAAATCGCAGGTCCGAAATATCATATTACATACTTTGCAAATAGAATAAAGCAGTGATTTTTAAGGAGATTGCTATTACATGGCAGATAGTAGAACAAGTCATGTTGACGTGAATTGTATCTAGGAACTAGGAAGTTTAACTTAGCCAGCAAACACATACTGTCAATTTTATTGTTGATTAAATTCGTTCCAAATCGTACCCCAGCAATAATTCTTCTAGTGTGTAGGGAATTAATCTTAAACCGATTGAGTAAATGAGAATGATTATAACCTCTAGGAGGATACGCTCTATCTTCACAAAATAAGAGATACTTTAGGAATAACCGCTGAACAGATTCAATGTGTTTAATATGTACTTGGTATATAGGATGCCACACAATCGCTCCGTACTCTAGTTGTGATCTAACTAACGAAAAGAACAATGTTTTGCGGGTCTGAATCTTAGTGAAGTCCTTTGTGTTTTTATAAATAAATCCATAGGTTTTATACGCTTTAGAAACAATATGGTTAATGTGTGGAACAAAGGTAAGTTTAGCATCAAACAGTATGCCAAGATCTGTTACAGAATCCTGTCGTTTTAAATCGATATTATCTATAACGTAATGAAAATGAAGAGGCGACTTTTTACGACAATACGATATTACCAAGCATTTCAGAATATTCAGAAAGCGACGATTTCTTTGACACCATTGAAAGATTTTACTGAGGTCATTTTGAAGGGCAATACAGTCTTTGATCGATGTTATTATTTTGTAAATCTTGTAATCGTCTGCAAAGAGTAGACTATCGGTTGATACAGTATTAGTGATGTCATTAACAAACAGCAAGAACAACAACGGGCCCAAATTCGAGCCCTGGGGCACTCCAGAAGTAGGATATATTTTTTTGGACGTATGACATTGATATCGGACACATTGGTCTCTGTTTAACAAGTTCGATTTAAACAAATTGATGAGAGAATCAGTGAATCCAAATGCTTTTAACTTGTGCAACAATATGTAGCCATCTATTTGATCAAACGCCTTTTGAAAATCGAGATAAACTGCATCAACTTGCTTTCTTTTCTTAAGAGATTTAAGAAGAAAATAAGAAGAGTTGCTACAAATATTTTAAATTCAAGTTCTTTTCATCAAACAATTGATAATTATTCATCATTTGCAACTCATGGATTAAGCATTTCATTTTAAATTCAGATAGTATCAAGTGTTACAGGGTATTAGTATTTTGGGTTGCGTAAAAATAATTTTCAGAAATAATTTTCTCGTGACTAACCCTGTATATAAAAGACAATGTCCCGACTGACCTATCAACGCCCAGCCCAAACCGCTAATGATAGAAAGTTGAAGAGAGAATGTTCATTTTGTAGCAGATCTAAAAATATTTCATACTATTCACTCATATGAAGATTGTTTTAAATTGAATGAAGATATGGATAGACTATTATTATGGTATTGAACTAATCAGAGATTAATAAGTCGAAATGTAATATCATGTCTTTTACAAAAAAATTTAATATAATATTGTTTGATTATAAAATTATGGATCAATCAATTTGTAGGTGTAGTACAATTAGGGATTTGGGCGTATTGTTTGATCAAAAACTTAGTTTTAATGATCATATAGAGCAAACAATTGGGAGTTCATTTAAAACTTTAGGCTTTATAATAAGAAATTGCTCGGATTTCAAAGATGTAGTTGCCTTAAAGGCTTTGTTTTTTGCATTTGTGAGATCGAAAATTGAGTATCTGTTGTTTGGGCACCATATTATGCATGTCAAAGAGAGGCTATCGAAAGAGTACAAAAAAAATTCTTGAAATATTTACTTTTTAAGGAACAGGGAAGATATCCACCAAGAGGAATGAATATTATGGTTCTCTTGCAAAACTATGATGTTCAACTACTCGAAGATAGAAGACGGTTGGCAGCAGTTAAATTTATAGTTAACATCGTTCAAGGAAAAGCTGATGTGCCATTTATTTTATCAAAACTTTCTTTTGCAGTTCTGCGGCTGAACTCAAGGCAGCATATAACTTTCAGGATTTCTACTTTTAGGACAAATTTAGGAGTAAATTCACCAATCAACGTAATGACAAAACTAATAAATGGAGTTAGCAATGTATGCGATGTCAATTACGATGGAATTAAGAAAATAATTATGCATGTTTTAATGAAGTAAATAACCGATTTTATTTCATATTTATTGTTTTAGTATTTTGGGTTTATATTTGGTTTATTTATTTATCCTGTAATTGGGCAGATGCCTGTTGGATAATAAAGCATATTTATTTATTTATTTATTTATACTGGAGGCATCGTTTAAAAAGGGATTTCTCGAAATTCATCCCAATAATGGTTAGTTAACCAGAATATACTTAACCAAATTTTCGACACTGAAATACCGGTTCTTGGTTACAGTTTTGGTTAAAATTTAACCAAGGTTAGTTAACCCTGATTTTAACCAACTACTGAAATACCGGGCCTAAGGGGGTTAACAAGGGGTGATAAATTTGTTTAGGACCAATATATCTACTGTAAAATTTACATCGTTACGTGAAACTTGGTACATTTTAATTTTCTTCAATACAAATAAGGAAAAAGCATTTTCGGAGATTCGACCCCCAAGAGGGTTAAAAATAAAAATGGTGTCTAAGTTTGGGCGGCTAAGTTTGTATAGGAACAATATTTCTACTATAAGTTGAAATTTTGGTATTAATATTCTTCAACACAAATAATGAAACACGTATTTAAGCGTTTTCTAAAATTCAACCCCTAAGAGGGTGAAATTTAGAGGCTAAGTTTGTATGGGAAAATATTTCTAGTGTATATTTAAATTATTACGTGCAACTCGGTATTAATGCTCTTCGACACAAATAATAATGAAACACATATTTAAAGATTTTCCGAGATTCAACCCCTAAGTGTAAAAAAGGGTGTGGCTAAGTTTGTATGAGAAAAATATTTTTATGGTGATGTTTACTTTAAAATTGGTATTAATGCTCTTCAGCACAAATAATAAAACACGTATTTAAGCATTTCACCAGATTCAACCCCAAAGGGGGTGAAAAGTACTGGCT